ACTGGACATTGTAAACCTAAATAGTTTAATCGATTTGGTCTCTAAAGACACGAATTGTCACTATTTGGTGACTTACTCGCCTTGGTTTTCTAGAGTTCTGTGATTTCCCAGCGACTCATTAAATAGGACTACTACACTTTCATGTACGACGATAAAACTTTTATTTTTTTAAACCAGGCAAATTTGTTAAATACAGAATCTCCTACGAGTCTTTTTTGATATCAAAAAGACGAGTAGAAGATTTTATTTATCACCCAATCATTTCTTACATGCACAAATAAATAAATAGATATGATTCTTTGCTATAGATTTCACTTTTACTAAACATGATTACATTACGCGTAGTGATACATCATTTTTTGACAGCAATTCAACCATTACAAAGTCCTTTATATTGACCCAGTGTTTCCATCAAGGTCAAATAAATAAAAATAGACCCCTTTTAATAAGAAAGAAGTTACTTTTAATAAAAAATGAACTGTTCTTTAAAAATAAAAAAAAGTAGTTCCTTTTTGATTGACCAATCAAATTGATGTAAAGCGATATCTCCTAAGGATATCACACAAGCGATATTTACTGTAGAATGTATTATTAGGTGATAAAATCAAATCTCCCCGTTCTCGAGAATAACAATTAACTTTATTTTAACCCTTTCCGTTATCCTTACCCTTATTTAAAATTAAATCTTTATTTCATTCTACATGTATATAAACCTTAATCTGTCTCTTAAAATATATAAACAAACATGATTTATTATTAAAACCCAGAAATGCAATTAATAGCATTACCCGTTGACAGTGAACAAACAGTTTAACATCAACAACAATTCAAGACTCATCAATCTCCTACCTCAAACACCGAATTGTACCAAATACAACAAACGTCCTTTACCAATATTAACTCATGCCATTTGTTTTCAAGTGATACTTTACAGACAATATTAATTGGGTCGCCGGAAAGAGACGTCGATTGTGGCGGTTTTTAGGCGCCGTTGTCCGCCTATATTCCCGATAAATAACGACGACTGCTACTCGAATCAACTTTCTATACTCCTCCATTCCAAACTAGAATCCTAGTCGCTGCACGTCATGCATTATTATCTATTGTTTGCTAAAATGGAAACAGCTGGGACATTTAAAATTATTCATAATCTACAAATAATACAAGTACATTACATATATATGGAAATACCTTGTTTCTGTAAATCTGATATCAGTAATTCAGACCCTTCACCACTGTATAAATAATCAGCTCCGTATTTAGCTATTTTTCTTAACGTTTGTAAATATGTCACTCGATGGATTATCTCACCTTCTTGTCTAACGTCACCATTTTCATGACAAAATATCTCACTGAAAAATATGGGAAATGATGTAACGTGACCAATATCATTACCGTGTTTGCTATTTGGGTGGAGAAGTATGGTCGATTAAAATCATAATGTCTGGCACGCTTACCCATGACGATGATTTTGACCTTTTGCCTAAGTTGCTTCCGGCATTTGAAGCCGCACATTGGCACATATGAACTTGATGCTATAACTAAACACACATCCGTCTCATATGGAGGTAATAATGGTTATGCCTAGAGCTGTATGTATAAAACGTCATGCGAAATGAGCGTAGTACAACTGGTAGGCTGGTCGGTAAGTGGTTAACGTCCGCTCCCACCTGCCCACATGAAGTGATATCGTAGACGGCGAGTTGTCGACCGTTTAATTTCTTAGTTAGCTAGAATTCGGTTTACCACATCAAACAATACGCGTTGACATGACAGACTGTCTAATGTGATGCTGATGGTGACAACGCTGTTCATAGGCCAATCGATACAATAAAAATAGTTTTATTCTGGAACCAGTGTATCACACTTACCTCAATTCTGGGTATGCATCTTTCAAGGTCTCATTAGATCTTTCAGATAGTCTCAATTTGACGAATTCCGCACTTTTAACGCCGTCTTTCGTCATGCTCACACCCTTCTCTAACATAGCAATGCTAGGGGCAAACAATTCTTTCCATGGTAATTTACCGTATCTTTGATGAGCTTCCCAGTATCCCCTTATTTCTCCAGGTATTCCAATGGACAGAGGACCTGCATTTGTTAAAAATGGCAAATTTCTTTAATCAGCTAAAAGAGGGTTGAATGGCCAAATGGTTAGCACGTGCGCAAAGCTCGGATTTTTTTGGCCGGAGTTGGATGGCCGGATGGTTAGCACTTGCGTGCTGTATCATAAGGTCTGTCATTGAGTCAACTGGCGGGGTTTATATTCCCCGGTTGTACGTGACAAGGAGTAGGGTCGCCTGTTCAACCTCGTGGGTTTTCTCCGGGTCCTCCGGTTTCCTCCCACTGCTAAAGACCCCTACGCGCAAGCGAATTATTGAAATAAAATTGAGCCGTGTGTTAGTCATGAAATGACCTAGTTTGTGTCGAGTGGACCTTAAACCCCATTTCTCTCTCTCCCTCCCTTTAATCAGCTAAAGGTCTGCACACACATTCGCTCCAAATAATTCCACCAAGGGTTTAAATAATACTATATTTGTTATTCATTGATCAGTTTGGATGGTTTGTTAGTGATGATTGTCAGCGAGTAGCGCATAAATAGTCGTAGAAACATCGGGACAAACGATCGAGCTGTATATATTACCACAGGCCAATGTTTATTCATCGGAGCGCGCAGGCTTACAGAATAAACGGCATGCAAAGAATATGAATGCTAACAAATTTAAAATCTTTGAATCGTTGTAATTAGCTCCATTACATTATGATATAAAAGGCCCATGCTACGTTTCGTCGAAGATTGTATGTTGTCTCTGATAATTCTCCACCGACTCCATGGTTACATGGAGAAGTATATTTAAAAGATCGTACATACAATGATAATATGTGTTTACAAAACTAACACTGTACCGTCCATCTAAAGTTTAAAGAAAATGATCTCTGTTATAAAAGTATGCATCGAAAAGAGATTGATCAGCCCGGAAGGTTTGTCAGCAATTATTTTCTGCCAGTCGGGACAATCCGGCGAGCTGTTAAATTCTGCGATAATGATTATTTCGTGGTACGCGTGGACCCAAATCGTAAAAAGAAAGGCTATGAAAAATGCCCCCATCAAAGCGGTAGTTGCATAATATTAGGTCATATATTTAAAATATATTAAAATAAAGCTTTAAAACACACGGAATCTATCCACAGTCCTACCTTGTTAAAGAATAATCATACTATAATTCATTATTGTCAGTTGACAAATTTACAAAATATATCATTTCTTGTTGAAAGCAAAACGCTGGGTTTATAAAAGTCTCATGGTGGGATGTAGAGAACCTCAATGTAAGATACTTCATAACAGATAAAATTTACATTTTTGTACTCTAAAACTTCCGGAAATGCAGAAAATAATCTCTGCTGCAGTAGACTTCACTGTCAACCTCAGAGTATCTGTTAATATTATACTCACGGTCACCACTTTTCATCTTTTAAAGGTCTTGGCGGATTGAATGGAGGAATCATTGTGTAGTTCTTTGAAACGTGTGCAGCAACCCAGGAAGGTTACGGAAATTGCCAAGAGCCCCGGAATGAAACAAAATAACTAAATTAAACAACAATGATAACTATGAATGAAACCCGTATTAAAACTCACCAACTGCGGTAATGTTCATTCGAACTTCATGCGTGCCTTTAGCAGGAGATACCGCCTTAGCATTAATTACAACAGTTTTGTTTTCTTTTGGATCATAAATGATGATAATAGAGCCTGGAAAACAAACCCCAAAACGACTGAAATATATACACCTGTTGCTGAATACAGTCGCTATCAAACAAACTATGGGGAACATCACTACGCTTTGGACGCACAGTTTCTACTAAATATTGACACTTGACCACATCTTATTTCATAGCCCGGGGGGTTGGATGGCCGAATGGTTAGGGCGAGCGCGTTGTATCATAAGGTCTGGCATTGAGTCAACTAGCGTCGTTTCGATTTCCCGGTTGTACGTGACAAGGAGTAAGGTCGCCTATCCAACCGGGTACTCTGGTTTCCTCCCATTGCTTAAGACTCCTACGCGCAAGCGAATTATTGAAATAAAATTGAACAATATGTTAGTCACAAAATGACCTAGTTTGTGTCGAGTGGACGTTAAACCCCATTTCTCTCTCTCTCACTCTCTCTGTTTCATAGCCATTATCAGCATACGGGCATCCAGTGAAAGGATTATGGATTTTGTAGTTGTGTAGTGGTATACAAATAATCGAGGGAACGTATTTTATATAGTTTCTCAGATGATCTAGATACTTTTCTTGTGTCTAGGTCATTTAAAGAATGGTATAAATGCAGTTCAGATATGTATGTTGTCGACGGTGAAATATCACGTCCTTTATCCGCGTTCTATGTTTTCTTCTAGTTGAAAAGACGTGCCCAGGCGAACATACTTCAGTGTATATTTATAAAATTTGACAATTACATAGTTGTCGTTAACTCTATTAGTTGATGCTTTTTACAATGATGTTGCACACCCACACCAACAATCGAGAACAGTTTATTCTGATATAGAAGGGGATGAAAAATCCGAAAATAAATATGACAAATCGTATCTTACTTCCTCCTATTCCAGAACTATGTGGATGGATATTATGGCAACATAATAAAGTGGCTATAGCCGCATCTACAGCAGATCCATGTCGTAGTAATATGTCCCTGTAAAGAGAAAGTAGAATTAAAGAAGGTCATACTTTGGGAACATTTTTTTTCAGTAATTCGCTGTGCCACAGGGGTCTTTCGAAGTCTCTGGGGAAAGTCACCGGATTTACAGGTATTCGACCCAAAACGGGTTTGTACTCGTTACTTAACTACACTTAAATTACATTGACATCAAGTGACGAAACAACGCCACGGACAAGTTGGGTATACAGTGAATTATGCAATCTTTGCCGACTAGCGTCGTGGTACTAACATCTATTTCAGATGTGTTGGTATCGACAGGTATTTGTACTAACCTGCCTATTTGAGAACATTCCAGATTGTCAGCGGCTACAGCACCAGTTGTAACTAATCTCCTTTTGATGACCGAGTCGCTAAGTTTTAGCATGTATTCTAGTTTACTTGATATACCAATAATCTCCATGTAATTAGCTACAATAATCATCAACACCAAGAACACAACTACCAAACATCTCTTAGGATAGCGAGATTTCTTGAACAGTTTTGCCTTGTATGACCCCTCTTCTGTGTCGCCATTTGCATCATGACTAAAAATATAGTAACACATAATAATTATTATTACGTCGTCGCGCCTGTTCATCTGTCGGTCTGTCACGTTCGTCAACAATTGGCTTGGACATGAGATGGATTCTTAACGGATCTTGCTTGCAAATTTGGTGTGAAGCATTTTGGTCGTGAGACGATCAAAATACTACCGATGTTCTGCGCTCTACGACCTTCCGTCTGGAGTAACGCCCCTTTTTCCTTTTCCGGAAATACTGTGCGATAGAGGCTACAGTATTTAATGCATGCCTTGCAAAAGTTTATGAAGAACTCGGGACATAAGAATCAATTTTCAGCATATCCACGATCTTCCGTTTCAGAGTTATGCCCCCACGGGGCAACGACCGTTTTTCCCGCTAACCCTGTAAACTCAAAATCAGCCGGTCTATCCCGAATTTCGAATAATAACGTGCTGGCTCGTTATTCGGGATTTGGCAATAACATAGGCGAGTGCGGGAGAGGACTACCCCGTACACGCCAACAAACAACTTAACCCAACTCGTTTGACAAACGGTCGCCTCCTTGCTAGTCAGACACCCAATGTTTTCTTACCCCTACGGTCGGAGATTGCGAGGAAATAGTCGAAAGGAAGGTAGGCCGGTCTACTCCCCAATCCCGAATAACGAGGCAGCACGATATTCGGGATTAGGTAATAACGCAGATGAGTACGGGATAAATCTCCCCCTGCATGTCAACAGCCTACTCGCTTGACCAACCGTCGTCTCCTTGCTAGTCGGCTACCCAACGTTCACTTACCCCTATGATGGTCGAATGCAATGTAGGCTAGTGAACACCCTACCCGCTTGACAAACGATCGTCTCCTTGCTAGTCGGACAGCCAACTTTCACTTACCCCTACGGTCGGAGGTAGTGAGGAAATGGTCGGATGTAAGGTATGCCGTTTTACTGCCGAATCCCGAATAACGCACCGGCTCTTTATTCGTTATTGCCGAATCCCTAATAACGTACTGGCTCTTTATTCGGGATTCGGCAATAACGCAGGTGAGTGCGGGATAAATCTGCCCCCTGCACGCAAACAAACCAGCCAACGTCCTACTCGTTTGACAAACGGTCGTCTCCGTGCTAGTCGGCCACCCGACGTTCACTTACGCTAGGAAATAGTCGGATGCAAGGTGAGTCGATCTGTTTTAGTGCCGAATCCCGAATATACGCTGGCTCGTTATTCGTTATTCGAATCCCGAATAACGTGCCATCTTCACGCCGCCGAAAATATTTTCATCATTAAAAATCCCACAACAAAATCACGCTGCACTAAATACAGTATTATTTTTTGATAATTAATTGATCCATAGTCAAATATACATTGCTTCTAGAAGTCAAGACATACCTATTATTTATTCCATCCATGTGATTTGTTTCACCCAGTCTACGTCTAAACATTCCAGACACCATTCTTTGTCGAAACTCGACACACCTAACAAGAACAATACGCACACATTCAGGTCATTTGGTTAAAATTTCTTTGTGCATGGAAGCCTGCTTGGCAGGACTGGTGGATAATCACGAAGAAATAGTGAAAAATCCCGAATAATTCTTAAACTTGGTCCTCAATGGAATTTGGACCCGGAACATTCAGGTGTCCGGTGTCTTAATCCCACAACGACTCCCCAGTCCCCTTTAATTAACGGATAAAACACTTACCCGCAGACGATCCACAACTTCTATATAGAATTACCTATCAGACGAGTAAGCAACTTCCGCATGTCTATAATTTCTTATTAACGGATCATTTGCATTCACAAAAAATTATTCAATTATCTTAGAGAAAAAACGCCAGCAGTCAGGCACAAAATATAATAATAAATATAATAAATAGCTTGTCCTGCCTGTCTTCAGTCAGTGAAAATAACCTAATAATTTATTACCCTTAAATGATAGCATTAAAAACTACTGGATAGTATTATGCTCATATAATTCATTTGGCGTCATAAACTACCGAAGTGCGCCGATATCATTCCTGATTCTGACTTTGAATGTGTTTGTCGTCACCAAATTACCATACTAGTACATAGTGACCGTATTGTTACATGGTACGATTTCTTCAACATACCTGTTTTGCATTTCTTGTGTGGGGTATTATATTAATATAATCGATCCCCGGACCTCCTGTTTAGTTAGACAACGTCATGCTATTAAGAATATATTTGGAATGAAATGGCCCCGGCAACACAATATTTCGATCATATGATCTCAGTTTATTGACTACTGATATGAGCAAGTTCATTTTATTATACTTGATATGAATTAAATTATAATAAACGCTACATTTAAAAGCTATTAAATGAAGGTTCTGTTTGAAAATAGTAACATATGTATGTATATTTATTTTAATGAATATTTATAAATAATATATGCTTATCTTTTATATAACGGTAACATATGTTAGCATTGATAGAATGATATGGACGAGGTTTGATGCGTTTCAACAAAAAGCTGCTATACTGTAGATTCGACGCAGTCTCCGCTACAATTGATAAATTCATTAATGCTCTGAGCCAGTAAAAATTACTATAAACGAATGATTTACAACACATTCATATCGTCATTTGTATTGAAATAAATGCTTTCATCTCAAACAATGAAGTATGAACCATTTAAATAAACAGTTTATATTAATTTTGTTGTAATTCATTTTAATTTTTTATAGTGCCATATACGTTCATTTATACCCCTTTCTTGTAATTTACCTCATATGGGAAATCGCAGTGAAAACTATGATAAAACAACCATGAAAACCCTTTACTCCGCGGTGGAAACCTTTTCTCCGCGATATGTTTCTTTCCGCAGTGGAAACCCTTTTCGCCGCAACACATCATGTGATTTACCACTGCGGAGAAAACTTTCTACCACGGAAAAAGGTTTATACCGCGGAAAAAACTTTATGCCACGGAGAAAAGGTTTACACCGCGGAGGAAACTTTATACCGCGGAGAAAAGTTTTAACCGCGAAGAAAGGGTTTACACGCGGAGAAAAGATTTTTCATGGATTTTTGATTTATCATAATTTTCATTGCAATTTCTCATATGAGGTAAATTACAAGAAAATGGTATAAATCAACGCATATGGCACTAACAAGCCACCGTACTCTAGGGTATTGAGGCGAAGAATCGCCATTTAGAGCAGAATACGTAATAAACCGTATTTTAAAATTGACGGACTGGAAGCCAATGCAGATCTTTAAGAATTGGTGTCATACGTTCATTTGGTTTAGTCTTGGTTATGATCCGGGCTGCTTTATTTTAAAGTTTCTAAAGTCGTTTAATTTTATTTTCAGGTAGATTGTGCAAAAGTGAATTACAGTAGTCGAGTCTTGATGTAACCATGGTGTTTACCAGCATTTTAGTGGTGTCACTATCAATGACAGATCTAATTTTTCCAATATTATAAATTTGAAAATGAATACTTTTACACATTGCCGAAATTTGTTTATTCATACCCAGATTAGAGTCAAAATAAACGCCAAGACTTTTTTATACAGAATCTGTTGGTGTAATAGAGATAGTACCAATTTGATAGTTTTCTGAATTAGATTTTAGTAGTTGCTGCCTGCTGCCGACTTTCTTTATTTCTGTTTTGTCGTCGTTGAGTTTTAATAAAATTTGAGTCCATCCATTTACAAATATCTGATAAACAGGCCTCAAGTTTGCATATCTCAGATGATTAAAAAGAAGGCTCAAAGTTGTATAAATTTGAGTGTCGTCGGAGTACAGATGGTAGTTGAGACCGTATTTACGAATGGCATTTCCTAAAGATGTTGTGTATGTAGTAAATAATATTGGACCGAGAACGGAACCCTGTTGTGTGCCATACTTTAAAACTTGTGAGTGTGCTGTGTGCAACATTCTGTGTGCAACATTGCGATGTTGTTTCCATGATTTTGTTATTGTGTTCAACATTACCTGCAGGTTTCATTACATCATGAACGACCTGGATATTTTGAAAACCGACCAATGATCTAGATGATTGTTCTTATACAAGAATATTCAAATCCGCTTCAAAAGCAAGATCGAAAAGGTACAGATAGCATGAATCGATACATGTAATCAAAAATAAACTTAAAAGTTTGAACCTTTGGCTGTTACTACATGATTGGAAATAAAAACAAATACGTTTTTTTCAAAGCCAAGAAAACCTTCAAAACAGCCTTATTGCTGGGATATGACAATTATTTGTATTTCTTACTAAACAACAAAGTCATAAAGAGTAACACATGTTGCATACAAAATTATATAGTTGCATTGCATATAGTCCTACGGACATATTGGCCCATTCCCTAAATACCAAACATTAAACAATATAAGACATATTGGTTTAAAAAATAGTTTATCATATAACTTTGCAGAATTAATTTGTTTAATATATGATACAATAACAAGCTTGATAGGATTATATAAAACCGCCTCCTTATTCTCAAATGTTGACAGCACATCTAGACTAATATTCGTAGAATATTTGCCTGAATGATAGAGACTAATATAAGGATACTTACAATGAAAGAAATAACATTTTTAACCAAGTGTTATGCTTACGATTTAGATATAATATAATCAGAACATGAAGTTCGTTCCCACAGGTTGTGGGGACAATTTATTAGTATTATTACAGATATTAAGACCTATGCTTTTGTATGTATTATCATAACAGGTGTAAACTGTTATGAGGCGAGGACGTTCTGAATTGACAGAATTTGCAATCAAGTGACACGGAATCCAGTCTTGTCTCGGTTCTTTCAGTCCCGATAATTGATGTGGTGTGATTAGAATCGTGTCGTAATCAAACACAGTAAACATATTTCAACTTGACACTTTTTTGTTTGAGCTATCTTAGATTCATATATCCATGTTACATCATAATCCACGCTCAATAATGATATAAAATCAATTCATATAGTAGTAGTAGCAGTACAGTTATATATAGTATATCGCATTGCAGAATATGTTAATATGGAAATGTCTTCTATAAAATATTATCTGGTAAAACAGTTTGTTTAACTAGACACGCCTTTCCTTGTTTTCTTTCATCAGAGTAAGCAATTATCTTCCCTGTTGTAGGGTCTTTATATATGGCTTGGACGGCAGATATTAGATTTGGTCTCTGTTTTATCTTATGGCCATAGTCATCTCTTAGTTGATGTAGAATGTGCTGAAATATAAGAGTTTATAATCTCATTTGGCAGCGAATTTTGTTTGCAGTGGTGGTGGCGAGGGATCGGGTGGCCCGCTTTCGGTCATTTAAAATTATTTGGCCAAACCCACCCATATATTGAATCAAATATGGCAGAATTTTTATTTTTAATATCAGTATATTCATTTCCCACAAGATACTCCGAAATTCAGTATTTTTGGTATAGTGAGAGGGAGAAATTTTTCTGCTTTAGGATTGTTATACTTTTCTTTAAAAATGGACAGAGAGAGAGAAATGGAGTTTAACGTCCACTCGACACAAACTAGGTCATTTCGCGACTAACATATGGATTAATTTTATTTCAATAATTCGCTTGCGCGTAGGGGTCGTTAGCAGTGGGAGGAAACCGGAGGACCCGGGGAAAACCCACGAGGTTGGACAGGCGACCCTACTCCTTGCCACGTACAACCGGGGATTCGAAACCACGCCATTTGACTCAATGACAGGCATTATGATACCGCACGCACGTGCTAGCCATTCGGCCATCCAACCCCTCTATTTTTGGTATAGCTCCTTATAACACAAAGCAATTTCTTTAAATAGTATGTCATATTACTTAATAATGTCTCTTACCTGTGGAAAATCTGCTTCGTACATAAGATGTGGCCTTACCATGTCATAGAAATATCGTTTGGCTCGAATAGCTTCTTTTAATGTTTTATTTAAAGAAAATAGTTCCATAAGCACCTGCAAATACAAATGATTTAAATGTTTGGTCGACATAGTTATTGTACATTGTAAATATAACACTTAAAGGTGCATTATGTAAGATTTAGATACAAGGCTGACAGTTCTCGCTATAATAGTTTAAAAATACATTATGAGTGAGGGAGAGAGAAATGGGGTTTAACGCCACTCGACACAAACTAGGTCATTTCGGGACTAACATATGGTTTTAATTTTATTTCAATAATTCGCTTGCGCGTAGGGGTCTTTAGCAGTAAGAGGAAACCGGAGGACCCGGAGAAAACCCACGAGGTTGGACAGGCGACCCTTCTCCTTGCCACGTACAACCGGGGATTCGAAACCACGCCAGTCGACTCAATAACAGACTTTATGATACATCCAACCCCCCAAAAATACATAATGAAAAAGGAATATATTGAAAATTTCAGTTAAATTACTTTATTCTGAGCGAAGTTAGGTAGGTAGTCTCGATTTTCATTCCATTAAAAGTCACGACCATCCCATGGTCTAGAGGGTTGATTATGGGCTGGTCAAGAGAATAAATGTACAAGCGTATTTTGGAAAATACCGTATGTGCGCCTGTCGTTGAGTGCTCATAGAAATAGAACGTGTAATTTAACTGAAATCTCAAATGAAGATAGTAAAACAAGAAACTATTATAACTAGTACTTGTATATATTTTTGGTAATAATTCTTAATATATTCGAGTGGTAATTTTTTTATATCAAATTAGCTAGCTTGTGTCTGAAGTTTTAGTGGTTCAAATATGCCGACTACTGAAACCCCTCTGATATATCTTGTGTGGACTTCCCCAATTGTAGTTTTTTTTGTGTTCCTCAGACCGTATTTTAAGTTTCTAAGTGTAACTAAATATAATATAACGAAAATAATTAATACTAGTTACCATGGCAAGCGTTGACGCAATTCTATCACCTCCGGAACATCCTATAACCAGATTAATGTCACCATTTCTAAAAAGAATAGAAGGCGCTGATCCGGCCGTTGGTATCTTTCCCGGTTCCATTAGATTATACTGCCAAAATACAAGATTAAAAAAAATATTAATAGCAATAATACCACGTACGTTTACACCGCGATTGGATTATACTGTCAAAATATAAGACAGAAACATTTAATAATATTAATAATACCACGGACGTTTAGAAAACCATTTTGTATAGATGGTACTATATTGTGTTTTATCATACAATGGTTTACTATATAATTACTCTGTACTTTTTCACGGCTATTTTGGTGAATCATACATGGTTTTGCTTATAATTACAGTGAGCTTTTACACGGCCATTTTGTTTTCTCATACACGGTTTTGCTATATAATCACTACACATTTTGACACGGCATTTTTGTTTTAATGCAAGGTTTTGCTATATAACCACCACGTACTTTTAAACGACCATTTTGTTTGATCATCCTGGGTTTTACTATATGGATTAAATCTAACTGTATTTAGAATATTCTAGTAAATAAATCTTATCATGACTAGAGTATTCTATTAATCAGATCTGACAACAATGATCCCATCTCCTCGCCTTATTACGGTTTACTGTTTTAATATATTTTAATAGTTTTAAGATACGATAGTTAAAGGGCCATTCTCGATTATATTTTGGAGAATATAACTGCTTAATCTTGTGTTAAATGCCCTTAATCTTGCATTGGAGACCTGTCCCTCAAGCTATATTATACGGTGTCTGGATAAAACCAGACTTTTATTTTATACAAATAACGTGTAGGTAAAATTTAACTTTCGTTATCAAGTACTGCACGTGGGTCATGCACTGTATACACCTCCATTCCTCTGCATTTCGGTGCTTAAATTTCATACGTCACGGACTTTTATTTATGAGATTCCATTAAAATCGTGAGGGTCCCTTTAAATATAGATTATGAATAAATATAAATTACCTGTCCGTCGATGAAGAATGAATACATTGCGTTGTTTAATATTATTCCTGTTCTCTTAGAATAAATTAAAGATCCATAACTGAAAAAATAAAATACAAGAAGCAAATTAGGAATTTATAGCATGGATAAATTGCTGTGGATGCACAATACAGTAACATTTACCAATCGGATTGCAGTTAGATAAATCAACTATACATATTGATTTTAGAAGTTCGACTGTGACTTATTATGGATATATATTCATAGTTTAGTTCATACCTGTTCAACTAAGTAGTTATGTTTTCAAGGGATCGACCAAGCAGATAGGTAGGAATGGCTTAAGGTTTTACGTCCGCTTGCACCTAGTGTGGTGTTGCAGACTGTTTCCTAAGAAACTTGCCAGAGAAGCCACATATATAGTAGGCTTAGTCCAGCATGTGTAGGAGGCCAGGCAGATTGCAGTAGACAAATTAAATACGCACAGGCGACAGTGCGCGCCTAATTTGGGTTCTTTCAAGTTTGATCAAAATCTATCAACTGTTGATACAGCTAATGTCTACAAATGATCAAACAATCGATAGTAAGGTAATAAAACGTGGTCAGATGACATCAAGTTTAGGATAGACAGATCCATATTCACCTTGTATCAGGCAAACAAAAGTAAACTGATTTTGTATCAAAGATTACGTTTGGCGATCAGTTTGTAAAGTAAAACAGAATTAATAAGAGACACAAAATTAAGTATAATTTAAGTACTAATAAAAGACACAAAATTACAGTTAGTCTAGTATTTCTGTAAACGGGACACAACTTGCCACAAAACTTACTAATGATTTATACTACTGGTTATCGACACGGCATCACCATCAGGACCAAAAACTGATACATGGGTGGTTCCTTCATCTCTTCCGTGACCTAAGCTGTCACTCACAATTCTTTTATAAAGTTCATCTTCTTGTGTCTTGGTAGGATCAATAAAATTTCTTACACTTTGGGCGAATTCTTCGCTGTATAAATTTTTCAATTTCTGGAAAACAGATTTTACAATAAATTAGTTTGGTTGCGGTTAGCACGACGTTGAAAAGAAACGAAGACAAGCCCTTATCATGTAAGTCATAACCGCATGATGTCATGTTATGCCGAGGTCCCATTGGTGAAGAATCATCGGCGATGTGGAAATAAACAAATTTACTCCCAATGGCTCCACATGACATCCCCGGGGGTTTCTAGATCCATGGGAAACTCCGATGATGCTTCCTTTGAACTTGAATCGGGGATTCCCCAGGGAAAATATTTCGAGGGAAGCACGCCGGGGAACCTATTCACGACGCCTCCCAAGCTCATCAATTTCCATCGGTAGTTCATCCACGAGGCAAGAAATGCCCAGTGGGACCTAGCCATTAGTTAACTGAGCAATATATAATTCCACCATCGTAGAGGGGATAAACTAAATGTCCATAGGGTTCCCCCGAATAAGCAGTTGCACAATGTTGAAAACTATGACCCGTAGATTTTGTGTGACAATGGCAATGATGATGTGTGACAATGGCAAAAATTCTGTCTCCGGTCCCTGTTATGGTATAGAGGTCACTTTAAAATGCATTGTAGACTTGGTCAATGCATCCGCATATAATTGATGCACCGTTTTGGCACAGTAAATGTAATTGCAGTCCATAGAACTCTTGGATATTCTGCCTATAACATTTTCTATAGCTACTATGTTAGATGACAGTCAGAGAGATGTACCACTAGGAAAAGCATACTATATCTAAGTCTTTAGTAAATCTTGGATCTCCTGCTGCAAGATACATAGCGCTGGAAAATTTAAATAACTCTGTCAGTAAATGGTAGGTCTTTACTTCATTTTCGGCATTAAAACTTTCATATGTGATGTTATAACCTTTAACAAAAATAAATAAATTAAAAAATATGGCATTATGATACAAAAGTGTTTGTTAGTACACGTACATAAAGTTGATAATAAATGGTGTTTAACGTCCCTCTTTTCTGCTCTATGTTCTATGAGGAATATTTTTGCGGCTACGACCTACTCTTATTTCGAATTCCAACTGCCAGGGGTTCTTTTTTTGCACGCCAATGAGTTCACGGGACATTGTTTTTTTTCACACCCGAACGACTAGACAGTGTACCCGCCAGACCCTCCGTCCTGCACAATTGAGAAGGAGAAAGCACACCTGAAAATACCGAAAAGTGACAGTCACGTTCTAGATGCAAACAAATACAAACAAGAACTTTATGGTAATCGGCTTCTAAATAGGCCCATGCTAGAACAATAATATGCTTTCACTTATCTTTGATTTTAAGGCCTTGGTTGACTGGTACTTAATGCTTTCAGTATGAAAGCTAGTAATACGATAATAATCACTACCTTTCGGTGTTTTCAGTATGAAAGCTAGCAATAAGATAACAATGAACGTTAGTGATACGATAATACTGACTACTTTTAGTGTTTTCAGTATATGAAAGCTAGTGTCAAGATAATAGACATTACCTTTTAGTGATTTCGGTATGATAGCTAGTGATAAGATAATACTGACTACTTTTAGTGTTTTCGGTGTGAAAGCTAGTGTCAAGATAATAATCATTACCTTTTAGTGCTTTCAGTATAAAAGCTAGTGATAAGATAATAATGACTGACAACCTTTTAGTGTTTTCAAAATGAAAGCTAGTAATATGCCACCACTGTGATCTGCTGTAGTATGTAAAACAATGCCATCAGCAATCTCGTGTTTTAGAGGTTCCATAATTAATGGTTTGTAATTCTTTAAATCCTCCATGGTTAATATAGAACCTGCAACAATAATTGATTTATTTGGTTTTGTGGTACCGAAAATACGTCTATCAACAACTTTGTCGTTTGAAGCCCGCAGGTTGTTAACCCGGTTTCGCACAGGACCTAAAGATGAAGTTTGAAATCGATCAAATGCAATAGTATTGATTTGATCGTCTGCTACAAGAAAGGCGATATCACAGTGATAAGCCTATTACTCTTTTATAGCCATGAAACCTACACAAATTCCACACCGACCGAATGAGAGTTGTAGTCTCCGGAATGTGAACTTTGAAAGTTAACGTCGGAAATCATTGGAAAATATATGTGATACATCCTGTTGTAGAAAAAGGCAGCTTATACATTTTATTGGATGAGCATTTTATACTGCAGTAGGGAAGGAGCAATGTTACATGGTGCCTAACTCCGTTCGTAAAACAAACGGACATCGACAGACAGTTTCAAATATTTTAGGAACCAAAATATTAAGATCCGGAAGTGAACACAAATGAACACAAGGGCCAATAACCTTGATTGTAGAAACATACAACACGAGAATATTTGTGACAAAGGGCAGGCACGTAAGTTTGCCCCCGTGTTTCAGGCTCTCCTGATTAATAGGCTTCTATCCCTGTTGGAAGATATGGTTCGCCTATTTCTATATTCTAACAGATAACGAGTGCAGCCACCTCAGTCAACGTTTTCAAACTTGCCATCCCTCTCATACGAGTACATTATATGGAAATACTTTGTTTTGTAAATCGGATCAGTAATTCAACCCCTACACCACTATATAAATAATCGGCTCCGTATTTGGTTATTTTTAAAAATTACCACACCAGTCATACGACACATTATATGGAAATACCCTGTTTCTGTAAATCTGATATCAGAAATTGAGCCCCTTCACCACTATATAAATAATCAGCTCCGTGTTTAGCTATTTTTCTTAACGTTTGTAAATATGCCAATCGATGGATTATCTCCCCTGCTTGTCTGGTTTCACCATTTTCATAGCAGAATATCTCACTGTAAAAAAAAAAAATGAAAAAAAAATGTAACATTACCCCAGATATGATCATTTCATTTGCATTTTGGTTCCCGAGCAAGTTTTGTAGTTTCGATACCCCATTGTACGTGGCATCGGGAGCTATTGAAAACTAGCAGCCCGCCTATTATACAAAAACGAACGCCTTTCTCGTGGATGTCAAACTATAATTATAATCGGATCGCTATATAGGTCTTAAAACATGTAGTCATTTTGTATATTTAGTCCTGTACAAAAAGTAGGACGCTATATCCCATTTCATTCCCATTGCATATATTCATTATAAGTAATTTATTCGTTCTTGATTATAGTATACATTTACCAGGAAAATGACACATGACTGTGAAGCCCAGTTATATGTATCCCTCTTCCAGGAAAACTGCACGGATTCCATTATCACTCTCAAGTTCCGGCATAATAAAGCTCCATGCGAGATTCCATTATCACTCTCAAGTTCCGAAACAATAAAGTTCTATGCGAAATGAGCGTAGCACGGCCGACTGACCGACTGGTAAGTGTTAAAGTGATATCACAGAGCGGGTTGTCGTTCGTTTCATTCCCTTTTTGTTTAGCGCACCAAACTACGCATATTAGTATTACAGTCTGTCTTTTAGGAGTTTAGCGTCTGTTCCCACAGTAAGCGGTTTCATCGACGGCGAATTCTCGTTGGTTTCCTTCCACAATGTGTTCAGAAGTCGGTTTACCGTGTAAAACTACGGATATTGCCATGCTATCTATTTGACCGGATGTTGATGATGACCACGCTTTACATAGAACACTTTATTCCGGAACCAGTGTATGAAACGTACCTCAAATCTGGAAATAAGTCTTTTAAGGTCCCATTAAATCTGTTCGATAGTTTATCCTGTAAGAAGTCCGTACTTTTAACGCCATCTTTCGTCATGGCCACACCCTTCTCTAACATAGCAATACTGGGGGCAAACAATTCTTTCCATGGTAATTTACCGTATCTTTGATGAGCTTCCCAGTATCCCCTTATTTCTCCAGGTATTCCAATAGACAGAGGACCTGAATTTGTTAAAAATGGCAAATTTCTTTAATCAACTAAAGTTCTGCGATGCCGTCTGAAATAATTACACCAAGGGCTTATAGAAAACAATGTCTGTTGTAAATTGATCAGTCTGGGTACTAAAATCGGGGGTTCACCGAAATTGCCAAGAACTCCCGAATAAAGAACTATTACCCAATTAGATGTCTGACAAATAATTTTGATAAACTAAAAATCTATATTTTATTAACTCACCTACTACAGGAATTTTCAATCGGATCTGATGGGTGCCTTTAGACGGAGATATTGCCTTAGCATTTATTATTATTGTTTTGTTCTCGTTTGGATCATAAATGGTCATCATAGAACCTAGAAAATAAAAACAACAACTGTCGAATGCAGCCTTATGTAGTCGCTATCAAACAAAGTAAGATAAACATCGCTACTTTTTGGAGCCACAGTCGGTACAAATGGATAACACGAGTTCCGCACCCAATCAAACCGGAAGTCCCCCCGCACAAGCCTAAGGCATATATTAAAAGAAACAATTATAAAGTATGCGCTCAGTTCAATTCCGATCTACAGTGTTGAAATGATTCAGTTTTTAAAAATGATTTAAAATTCAGTGTCGCTCCAATATTTTATGCTTTTTACGATAACGTTCCTCGTACAGACAAAAGCTGTGGGTGATCACAGAATGAAGATATATTATTTGAAAAAAAGTATTTTACTTCCTCCTATTCCAGAACTATGTGGATTGATATTATGGCAACACAGTAAAGTGGCTATAGCCGCATCTACAGCAGATCCATGACGTAGTAATATGTCCCTGTAAAGAGAAAGTTGGATTAAAGAGAGGGAGAGAGGGGGTGGGGTCGATCCGACACTATCCGGGTCATAATTGCGGGAATAAGGTGGTGTATTTTTATTTCAACAATGGTGTTGCCCCCAGTGCTCCTTCTAGATTGGAAGAAACAGAATCGTATCGATGACATGCATAGATAACAAAGATAACAAACCTCGTACAGTTGGACATTGAAGTTACATATAAAAAGAGGGGGCGAAAAGGTATTGATATCAAGTAACGATACAACGTATGTCGGTGGTTATAAAATTAAAAAATGTATTTTAGATGTGTTGGTATCGATAGGTATTTGTACTAACCTGCCTATTTGAGAACATTCCAGATTGTCAGCGGCAACACCACCAGTTGTAACTAATCTCCTTTTGATGACCGAGTCGCTAAGTTTTAGCATGTATTCTAGTTTACTTGATATACCAATAATCCCCATGTAATTAGCTACAATAATCATCAACACCAAGAACACAACTACCAAACATCTCTTAGGACAACGACATTTCTTGAATTGTTTCGCCTTGTGTGACCCTTCTTCCGTGTCACCATTTGCATCATGACTGGAAATAATTAGAAGCAAAGGCCCGTTTTTTAAATATGTAGTATGATGAATAAAAATAGTATATTGAACAAATCTGATACAAATTTAAATAAAAACTGGCGAGTAGAAGTATAACAGATCAAGGAGTAGCAAATTGGTGACCCCCACCCCCCCATAACCAATCAATCGCCGAAAACAGTAGCCGACGCCAATGAAGAAGGATGGTATTAGGTGGACTCAAAGAAGGTCAGTGATTGGATTTTCGATAATTAGGTCAGTCTAAGCTATGTTTTTCTTGAAACGGAATATGCCCCTAACCGCACCCAAAACAGCAGCCGTCGCCAATGAGGACTGGTGGTTTGAAAAGTAAGCATGGAAAGTAGGTCAGTGATTGCATTTTCGATAATTAGGTCTAAGCTATATTCTTGTTGAAACGGAAAATACCCCTTTAATAAAGTGTACCCTCAAGCTATATCCAAATTCTGCCTCGTTACTTCAGAGCTGTTAGGGAACTGGATTCTCGTCTTATGTGTGAAAACTATGCACGCTTACTGAACATAATGAATTGAATAAAATATCTGAATATGAACAACATACCTGTTATTTATTCCATCCATGTAAGTTGTCTCACCCAGTCTGCGTCTAAACATTCCGGACTCCATTCTTTGTCTAAACACAGCACACCTAACAAGAACAGTATGCACAAGTTTGAGTCATTTGGTTAATATTTCTTTGGGGCGTAGATGCATTCAAGACATGCGGAGGAAGTGACGGAAACTGAAAATCTAGACTATTGGTTATGGTATCTAAATATGTCAATTCCAAAATTGCAGAATGAACGATAAGCATAGTTTTCGACCACATCTAATAAAACGTACGCTTAACTGAAAATGAAATGAACTAACTATAAGTTTGATTCGTTAAAATATATCCCACCTCTTTAATTCCGACAAACTATTCCAATTTAATATAAAACACTTACCCACAAACGATCCACAATTTATATATAGAATTACCTATCAGACGAGTAAGCAATTTCCACATATCTATAACACACACATGTCTATTTACGGATCATCTGCATGTATTAATGAGGTATTGAGTTTAGTATTATTTATTCGTTCTTCCAGCTATCCCTTGGAATCACTGTTAATCTACTTTGAGATAATGTTTTAGAAGATGGATATTATTAGTTTTGCTGTACTCCCGCCTTGGAATTTGTTAATATTAAATAACATGGGCAGATATATTTTATTAACCAACAGCCACAATTATTTAAACCCACAGACCAGGCACAGAATATAGTAATATAATAACTAAGTCGTCCTACCTGTCGACAGTCAGTGAAAATAATTTGATAATTTACTGCCGTTACAATGACTGCATTAAAAACTACTCAATAATAATATTCTATTATCTTTAAACCCGTAGTTAATGAATCGACCGCATTGCTTGCTACTTTTGGCGTCATTAATTTACTAAAGCGCGTCGATATCATTCCCAATTCTAACTTCAGATGTGTTTGTCATCATCAGGTTGCTATAATAGTAAAGAGTATACCAAACTGCGTATATACATGTAGTGAGTTATATGTCTTACGATAAATTATACAAGTTGACAGGTTTAAATGGCGACGGTTATATACTCTTCAAAAAAGTAGGGGATATTCAGAAACAATACAAAACTGCGGAAATGCACTGCTGTTTTTATTAGAGGTAACCAGTGTATGTCAATAAGATAACAGGCCAATTGCCTACACATGAACATAAACAGTTCATATGGGCGGCTTATCTGACGGGCCCATTTCACTCGCAAAGGGATACAGTCAAAAGTGAAAATCGACGTTTTTGATTTTTGTCTTCATAATGAGTAATTGCTCCACCAATCCCCAGACATTCAACAATTCGTCGTGGCATGCTCCTAATCAACCGTCCAATCACGATTTGGGGCAATCTGGCCCACTACTCTTGCAGTGCCACGGCCAATTCTGGCAGTGTTGTCGGTTGACGTTAACATCGACGAACACGTCTCCCGATCATGTCCCAGACATGCTCTATTGGGGAAAGGTCAGGACTCATGGCTGGCCAAGGCATGTGGACAATATGGTGACGCTAGAGGTAGTCATTCACGACACGGGCGCTGTGGGCACGGGCATTATCATCTTGAAAGATGAAACGTCGACCCGCACGTTGAGCAAAGGGCAGAACTATCGGTGCCAGGATGTGGTCACGGTAGTACACACCAGTGACCCTTCTTTGCACAATGGGCACGGGCATTATCATCTTGAAAGATGAAACGTCGACCCGCACGTTGAGCAAAGGGCAGAACTATCGGTGCCAGGATATTGTCACGGTAGTACACACCAGTGACCCTTCTTTGGACAATATGCAAGTCCATTCTGTCAGTCATGGTGATTCCTCCCCACACCATAACAGACCGACGCCCGAATCTGTCATCCTGTCTGACGTTAACGTTAGCATGAAGCTCATTTACACGCCTCCAAACGCGAGTACGCCTATCGGTGAAATCCAGAGTAAATCTGAACTCAACTGAGAACATTACATGCGCCCATCGACGATTACCCAAATTTCTACGCTGCCTACACCATTGACGCATGTTTGCCATGTGCTGGCGAGTTAATAGAGGCACAACACGCGGTCGTCGCGCATGCAAATGGGCTGCATGTAGCCGATTTCTAATCGTTTGGGGTGTAACTCGAATTCCTGTAACTTGGTACAAGTTACAGAAGGCTGATTGGCCGTCTGTCCACGATTTCGCAGGACCTGTGTGCGAATGTATCCATCCTGGGCTTGTGTAGTGGCCCTAGGACGACCTGAACGAGGTCTATCATCAGCATTGTGTGTTTGTTGGTACCGGTTCCACAGTCTGCTGATCACAGACTGTGACGCATTAAGCATGTTGGCTACTGCTCGCTGTGTAAAACCCATTTGAAACATGCCAATAGCACGTAGACGTTCACCATGTTGAAGACGTATCCGACGACACAAGCCGGCCCTTAACAGAGATGTAGGAGTCTATCTTCCCCACGCATACGATAACAATAATTTTCCAGTAATTCATTTTTGTTATCAGGATTGTTGTTACATTCTCATTTATTTTATTCAATATAATTATCATATATCGGATTAGCTCCTGATTACTTTTTCATTATTATTATTATTATTATTCATAACATTCAGAATCATGCTTATTGGATTAGCCCTTAATATTAATCATTACTTTAATAATTAAAATTATATATATGATCTAGTGCTTCGTATACTATCTAACATCCACCATTATTATAAATTAAACATCAATGTTATTAAAATAATAGTTAATGTGTGTTATTGCACACCTAATGAATGCTTAACACCTATTTGTATCATTGTAATACTACTGATCACTAATTAGGCTTACTCCTGCTTCATAGATATGTAATTAATTATGGCTTCGGTACATTGTAACCACTTAGGGCTTTGTCATCATCGCTTTGATCAGTGCTAGTTATATATAAGGTCTATATTTATGGCTTCTTTTTTACTGTATAAAAATACTTGATGTTTTACATATATATGTTATCATTTGCTTGATAAAGACGAGAGAATCATCGTCGAAACGTTGCATGTTAATAAACCAGTGATTGTTATTCCATAAATAGTGTTAGTGTGTTACTGTTCAATTACTAAATGCCACTTAAAGAAGACGTATCATTGCAAATTAAACGTAACACACTAAAGCAAAGATACGCTAAACAGTAAATCTTATGCAAGAATCGATAGAAAAGCAAACATGGATAGGATAAACCAGCACGCTGCAGTTTTCATCAAGTGTCAAAATTTGACAATGAACCCCTCAAACGTGTATGGCGCTATTGCGTGTCGCACGTGCAGCTCAGTGGTTCTGTTGGGGCGATAAGTTTTTCATCTGTGAACATACTCTTAAAGCATGTCAAGTGTCCATGACTATTTATCATATCCTAACCTGCATAGCTATTTGCATTTCAATATCCCCTACTTATTTTGAAGATTAAATAAGCAGATATACCCGCCCTCTTTTTTTTGTATCCATCAAAACTGTTTTCAATGGCATCCCACACGATGTGCTGTCCAACGGCTGTGGCACTAAGGGTGTTTTTTTTTTGTTGCGAACTTGTCCACTGGTTAAATCTAAACCCAGATCTAGAATATGTGACTCCGCCGGGTAATGTGGGTTCCTCGGATGATTCAAAATAGCGATCATTAAAAAATCATGAATAGGTCTGGTCTTTCAAGCCCAGCTGCAAAAAAATGTTGATTGCGACTTTAGCAACAAAACCTACCCCAATTAACTTTGTTAGCAAACAACAAAACGCGCAACCGGCACTTACCCGCACACATTAGAAACACACCCACGCACTTAAGAAAAATTCTGAAGGGAGTATCCGGTATTCTAAATTTGATTGCTATTAAGAATAAAACTCTACATGCTTTAATAGACGTAAACACATAATTTCCTCCATCTTAAGGGTGGTAAATTTCATTCCTATGATTAAACTACGTGTTGGGGGGCGGGGGGTGGGGTGGGAGGGGGAACTCTTCTGCAAACTCCAACCGCCAAGGATTTCTGAACGTCCACGCCAATGTGTACAAGAATGGATCTCAGTTTGTCACTATTGATATGAGCAAGTTCATTTTATTTTATTTGAATGAATTAAATTATAATAAACGCAATATATAAAAGCTATAAAACAAGCACCATCGATTTTAAAATATTCGTGTAGAGTATATTGATTTTGATGAATATTTATAATACTATCAGCTTATCTTTTATATAGCGCTTTAGTACCAGATGTCGATATTGGTAGAATAATGTGTACTATATAATATACATATACATACAGATCTAAATTGTAAAACAGGAACTAATCTGAGCAATGATTTAAACAAGCGGTTGACATGCAAGATACGCCCATATTTTGCAAGAGGTGGACAGAGAACAACCTAAAAAGGCGCTTTTTCATACCGCCAGTTTCAAGGATTTTACGCTCCGACATGCATCAATATCGAATAGAACCGATATGTTTTAAGTTCCATCAAAATCGAATACAAATTGAGACCTCTATAGGGTCCACAAACTAAAAACACGAATGTTCATACAAGCACGAAGTTACGGTTCAATACATGCCAATGTAGAAAGGAACCGATATATTTGGGATATAAACCTATATTTTAAGTTTCATCAAAATCGGATACAAATTTTAACCTCTAAAGGGTCCACAGCTATGGTATTACATATTTTATACTAGTTATGTAGAGTTATTCGAACTCACCCGTAATTATGGCGTAACAATGATATATATGCACGTTACGGTCCTATACATGCTAATATCGAAAAGAACCGAGAACTTTGGGATATAGACCTATATTTCAAGATTCGTCAAAATCGGATAAAAAAATTTGACCTCTAGAGTGGCCACAAACAAAATGTGAACAGACAGGGGCTACGACAATATACGTCCACATGAAAATGTCAAAATGGGTTTCAGCAAGAGGGGATAACTCCGGAATGCTGGAATGGAATAGAGTTCATACTGTAATGGCACCACTACTGTTTCCATCCAAATTTGAAAAAAAGATAGCCACGCAAAGCGTAGAAATATGCCCACACAGCAGCTTTGTTTTTTTTAAAAAAAAAAAACAACAGAAAAGAGGAAGGATTGCTTATCGGATAAAACCGATCATGACCTCAATGCTCTGTACAAAATCGGTAACAATTCTGCCAGAAACTGTATACTCTATGGGTTTTCAAGGGGGTGACTCCGAAAATGAAGTTCGCGGAATGATGAATATCGAGAAGGTTCGTCCCCTCGTGACACAATTGGTTCATACCAAGTGTAGCCTCTATCACGTTGGATAAAATATATAGCCCCTGTCGCATTCACATGGTTTTCGACAAGGGAGGGAATAACTCTGTTAAAAACTATCACGGTGTATTTGGAAAAGTGGACACAACTCTAAACGGAAAGTCGCAGAACACTGAATATTGATAGGGTTCGTCAAAAACAGTCGTCGCTATCGCGTTTACAAGGGTTTCCCACAAAGGGGGGTAACTTCGGAAGGGAAAGTAGCGGAACACACGTAGGATCCACGATTGCCAGTCCGGGACGTCCAGAATTGCAATCGAGTGACGCGTAATTCAGCCCTGTCACAATTCTGTCAGTGAGTGTCCGATTGCTATATACGGAAATGTGTGTAGATCAAAACGGCAAGTCACGGAAAACTGCATATTGATAGGGTTTATCCTTATATGACAACAATGCTTCACACCAAAAATCCGTGAAAAACTATAGCCTCCATCGTGATGAATGGTGGGTAAGGTCACGAGATCTGAGGATCAAGGCCCATAATTGCATATGGTATGTGTACAACCAAAGAAGAAAGAACCCAATATAAGATTTTCCATTTTATTAACCAACCAAAGTTGAATAATACGGCTTTGAACTTGAAATAGACAGAGAAAACGAAACAATAACTCAATACAAACAAGGTCATCTGTAAAATAGTTCTTTGATGAATACCTAGTGCAAAACGGCTTAAAAATGGGGCATTCCATTGTTAAAAAATACATTGCAATTACAGTGCAGACTTTTCTACTTCACTTCGTGAGTTGGGTATTGTAACACGGTCTATTAACACACATCATCCCTTATATTCTCGTCTATCAAGACCTACCTAGAAAATAGTAGGATTGTTTAAAGCCAAAAGCAGTCTGAAGCAAGTATAGCTTTTACGGTAAGATGACACATGGAAGGCGTAAAAGACGCCACAAAATGCATATGTTTCAATATAGATGACATGATATCTATGTCCGGGAATTACTCCCAGGGCCGCGTAAAAAAAACCAATTGAATATATACTGCCAGGGATGCGTAAAAACTCATTTTACTGATATATGTATGTTTATCTATTATCAAGTTCATTACCTTCTCCCTCCACTCTCGAAATCATTTCATTACTTCCTAGAGTAAAATTTTTCACATGAATAACTTTAGAACCTTGTTTTAAACCACTATGCAGATCATGAGTTTCATGGGTTCTCCAATCTTGTTTCCATAGTTTATTCCACATTCTACCGGCTTCATTTAGCTGAAAGGAAAGCCACATAATTTTAACGTCAAACTGATATCTATGCATATAGGCGTACACGTTGTGATATCAAAATAAACAAAAAATTTACCGTATGTCAGACCCTAGATGAGTATGTAGACTCCCCTCCCTCACTACTGTTAAGTCGGGACCCTAAGCAAGGGCGCCTTTTGGTTAATTCATATGAGGACTGAATCCCCAAAGTAAAATGCCGTGATCCTAAAAATTTATATTTATTTAAAGGGACAATAACACTCTTGCTGGCTTGACAGCTCCAGAAAATAAAAAATAGCCTTATTCTAAGTACTTAATCCACTAAATCCTATTTTACTTGTCCAGAGGGTTCAAAAATATTTTCAAATCCAAGTCACATTTGAAAAGCTTTACGTCAGGCTTTTCAAATCATTAAGTTGAATTTTTCCAATTTTTTAAATTAGGCGTGTTAAGATGAAATTTGTATCATCAATTAATTGGAATATTGTAAAATAGTACAATTTGTTGACCAGAATAAAGATTGGGACATATTATTCAGTTACAACAAGAGTGGTATTGAGCCTTTAATAGGAATCCCAGCATCCTTTAAGGATTTAGCTCGGTTGTAACAGGTCTGTAGTTAAAAAGGGGAACATAAATATCGACAGCTTGAGAATTTAGCCGGGTTCTAATTGGCGACTATTTATTGTTGTGTACTTTTTGATATTTCCTTAATTTTAATAAGAGGATGCTTATGATACCATCGATTTCAGTGGCATATATGGTGGGAATAAAGATTTAACGTCCATTCGACACAAACTAGATAATTTCGGGACTAATATATGGTTCAATTTTATTTTTCAATAATTCGCTTGCACGCTGGGGTCTTTAGCAATGGGGGAAACTAGACACCGATACAGAAATGTACGTTCTGATTTAATGAAACGAAACAAAATGTAAAATAAATCAGGAATACATTTCAATCTCGATCAAAACGGCGAATTTGTGGTATTCTTGGTATTCGGTCGACTTGGAAATTTGGCAAAAAGGAAGCGGTATGCCAGTTGAAACAAAAACAAAATATTTGATATACGTCATTCACAACTTACTGTTGTAAAGTGTTCTGAATCGACCACCCCCCATTCGTTGAGAAAGAGTGTTACATTTGGATCTAGTTTATGAACTTCGTTGAACATCTATGCAATGATATTACGATCGTGGAGTTTATTAGCGAAAAAATCGTTGTGATGTACTTCACTATAGACATCCCAGTGTTTAACTCTGTATTGATTTCAAATGTTCCAATGTACAAATGTGTAATTCTATTAAAGATGCATTATGTAAGAGCTAAATATGCGTATTGCATGTCTTTTTAGTGGCTTCACAAATCAACACCAACTAGGTCATCTCGGGACTAACATATGGTTCAATTTTATTTCAATAATTCGCTTGCGCTGACGGGTCCTTAGCAGTGGGAGGAAACCGGAGGACCCACGAGGTTGGACAGGCGACCCTACGCCTTGTCACTTGACTCAATACTAGACCTTACAATCGCCCCCCCCCCCGAAAACAGATAGGCGTGATTCTGTGTCCAATGAAAACGGACAGGAAATATTCCTTGTATAGGCCTACATATTGTGTGACGTAATTCAAAGTACATTCTCACGGCAGTTAGTTGGTGGTCTCGTTACAATTTATATAGAACACAGTAACTTATGAACGACAGTGCTGTACCAAACTTCCAAATGGCTGATCGGTAATAACTGTCCTAAGTGGCTGTGCATACAACGCAATAAAATAAAACAAAACTTCAATACTAGAAAGTCCATTTTATTAACCAATCAAAGTTGAATGAGACGGTTTTGAACCTGCAAGTAGAAATAACAATTAATATTTGAATAAAATACGTGTAAAATTTTTTACAGTCAACATTCAAGTGTCTTTAGAAGTGGGAAACCCCGGATTACCCGGGCAATATCCAGGCTCTTGGGGAGGGGCCAGGGCCCTGTTTCACAGAAACTTAAATCTGCTTATAATCGTCTTAAACTAAAATTTCATCATAACATAAAGAACAATATTGGTGTTAGCCATTATCACATATCTGATAGAACTGGTTAAATGCTTTCCAAAAATAATTTGATCACAGATAGCATTGCTACGATAGATGCGTAACGAAGATTTGAAGAGACGGAAGTGACGAAAGCAAAAGGAAAACACGAGTTATCCTTCTCTATAACTGACTGACATAACGAGCGATTACAGATACACGGACGAATTTCTGCTCACTGATAATTCCTTCGAAGACCAAAGTTGTTATGTGAGACTGTGAGGGGATATCTGACAAATTATAAAAAGAACCGACTGTCACTAGATAAGAGTAAACGAAAAGAAATTAGAAAAGGTTCGTGCATTACCATGTTTAATTTAAGTATAGAAGGAATAAAAACAAGGGAATATAGGGGCTATTTCTGTTTTTATAAAATCCCGAAACACACCCACAAATATTATATGTTTGTAATTGACAATTCTCAAAAGTTTCTGTTATCCAAAATACATAAAAAAAACTATGAAATTCAAGCAATTTAGTCCATCGATATAAGCATTATTACCATTATTGAAGCCAGCGAGTAAATCAAATACCAAGGTCACGAAAGCGGCAAGGTCAAGGCCAACCAATCGATATATTTCCAACCGAATAAAACACAACAAACTCAACCCAATAATTTACTTCATCTCTGGCCATGTGTAAACATTGCTACAACGCATGAAACTCGCCCTGTTAGACCCCCCCCCCCACCACCTTCAACTGTGAAGAAAGACTGCTTATAGGCGTATGAATACAAGCATGCAATATTTATGTAGTCCTGAATAAAGCATGTGACATGCACTTGAGAGGTCGTACCATCAACATCGTTTTTCCCCATCCATCGATAGTCTAAGAATTCACTTCAGGATTTCTCATACAACGTTTGCGACATTCCCCATTGATAATGTAACCGTTAGTTCTTCATTAGCCCAGTGGGGACAGAACAGTAGGACGTTAAACCCAATTTCTTTTCATTGCATTTCAACCCGTCAACAGTTTTCAGTTCCGAAGCGTACGTGTTTACACCCCAATATCTGCTGACGAAAACCGGCAATGCGCAGGTGCTAGCACTTTAACTACAACTTATTAAAATTCCATTTTAAGTTACAATCGATCTTCGTGAAATGCATAAAATTTAAAATCTTATTTTAGTTAAAGATATATTATGTAAGATTGGAGAGAGCGAGGGAGAGAGATGGAGAGAGCGAGAGAGAGAAAGAGAGAGAGAGTTTAACGCCCACTCGACACAAATTAGGTCAGTTCGGGACTAATATATGGTTCAATTTTATTTCAATAAAATTGCGCTGACGGGTCCTTAGCAGTGGAAGGAAACCGGAGGACCCGGGGAAAACCCACGAGGTTATATAGGCGACCCTACTCCTTGTCATGTACATCCGGGGAATCGAAACCACGCCAGTTGACTCAACGACTACCCACGAAGAATGGCGGAAATTACTAATGTTGAAATTTACCTGTTGCAGGTAATATTGACATTAGGGTTCGTGTTATACTTATGAAAAGGATATGTTAACATAATTACTTTCTTTATTTAAAAAAATTATGAACCTTTTCCGGTGACCTTTAAATCAAGAGCTGACAGTTAACGCTATAATAGGTAAAATATAGATAATGCAAAGGGAATAATTATGTAAATATTTTAGTCAAATTACCTTATTCTAGACAGACTTATCGTCGTTTGCAGAACAGCCTCGATTGTCATTGCTTCCGTTGTTACGATAATATACATTTTAAATCAAATCATTAACTGCCAATCATATTTAAATCCGTTGAAAATCAAAACCAAAGTTCTAGAGAGTTGATTAGACAGGTTTAGGGTTTGAACAATGCATCTTTAAAATCTGTTTTAGTGATTTTAGCTTAAGTTTTTGTGAAACATGCCTCAGGTCTTAACAAGACGAACATGATGTAGGCCGATTTGTGTTGAATTCTTGCAGCACGGGACAGGCCATGCTTACTCTTTCCAGATCATAATATACTATTCGCGTAGATAACCAAATTGTATTCGGGTTAATGTTGGAACTTAAAGATACATTCTCACGAAAGTATTTATAGGGTAGATATTTCCAATAAAAGTGTGGCAAATTTGGTATAAATGGAAAGTAGAGACGCCCAATCTTACAAGAAAAATTCTGGATTCTCTGAAAAACACCAATGGGGCAAGCACTGCGCAAAAATGTTAGGGTATCACTAACTGGCAAATCCGACGGCTTATTGTCTTCCAGTTTGACTTAGGGATCGCTTGTTATTTCTTGATCGAATGGGTAGCCATTGTGGGAACAGTGAGGGGTTTAAAAGTACAACAGACTCTGCGATTAAACCGACTTAAAAAGCGATTGGCAGAAGATAATCCAAGAATGGACCCCCGCCACTCAATCAGTTACATGACAAACAAGTCTGCTGAAAATACATTTCTACGGCATGAGGTAGTCTTTTTTTCAATTAAAAAGATTTGAGAGTGATTTGAAGCAAACGTTTGATAGATAAATTAGTTTGAATATGTTTTTGTATTAGTATAAAATTGTATTAGTATACTTACCAACTCCGTCGACTCTCAAATTCTGCCCATGACTTCCCAGTGTAAAGGTCTTCTCGTGAATAACAGTAGAGCCATGTTTTATTTTCAAAGAATAATCCCCTTTAAATCCACGAACTTTCAAACCATTATACAAAGTGTGAGTTTCATGGGTTCTCCAATCTTGTTTCCATAGTTTGGTCCACATTTTACCGGCTTCATTTGGCTGAAAGGAAATTGGCATTGTACGTATTTATATACTTGTTGTATGGTATTTACGATTATTTTCTAGTGTTTTGGTGAACGGCCATGTCGAAATTAATCATTTAACGTTATTTTGATCATTGTTCTGTCCCGTTTTCATTGTCATTTTGAAGAGTTTAAAATTGTCTGTAAGTAAAAACCTTATTCTACTTCCACTTTCTATTATTATATTTTTGTTTAAGCCGAATCCTGGACTTACTGTTAAGTTGGTACCTTCAGCAAGGACACCTTTTGGTTTATTCATATGAGGACTGAATCCCCAAAGTAAAATGCCGTGAATTGCTGGGTGAGAGAAATACATCCTTAATGTATCAGCCATATCCATAGCTTTTTGGTGGTTATTGGTGTTTTCCCATCGTAGTTCAGTGACCCAGAGTGGTAATCCAACTCGAGCCAGTTGATTAACTCTTGCCTAAAATAAATATAAAAGTGTACACGTGTCATTTGGAACTACAATTACTTTTACAACCTATATTTTTCCAAATTTATTTTCAATGGACCCGCTACCACGTTTACTGCTGCTGGTAAGGATTGAATATAATTGTCGTATTTTGATCAAGTAACACGGGAATTCCTCGCCAGAATATCTGACGTAATAGTGGACCGTTAGGAGGGCCATAGTGGTCTAAAACACAAACCTGCATTAACTGTATATCAACACTGCTCCCGAGATGACTCTGTAATCCCATTCCCTTTATAGGTACCCCAGCATCCTTTAAGAATTTAGCTCGATTGTAATAGGCCTATTATAAAACAAAGGATTAAAGGTTATCACGACTGTAAGAGAAACATGTAGATTATATATAATACGACAACGGTCTGTTTCACAGCGATAATGCGAAAGCCTTCTTTTAGCTCTGTAAAGTATGACTGACGTCACCTCATATGACTCTAATAACAATAGACAGGCGACTAATTATAGTATGGTTGACATAATATATTTTAATCGAGTTCAAGTTATGAAAAATAGCCCAACACCGAACACTTGTTGCATGGCATTTCAAAATATACTATTCAAAAAAAGTAGGGGATATTTGATTTTTAAGTGTTATTAAAGTCACCTAATGAAACTGACGAAGAAACAAATGACAAAATGAAATGAAGTTCACATTCATCGATTTATTCCAAATGATCGTTAGACTAAGTAAGGCACAGACTGACCATTATAAGGGTAAAATGATACCCGGGGTCAAACAGCAAAGTTACCACAGCATCACAACCAAGTCAGTAACGGGTAAATCCTCCTCTGTTTGCCAAACAAGCATTGATCCGACGTGGCATACACCTAATGAGACGTCTAAGGTCATTTTGGTCCAGATTGTCCCATTCCTGTTGCAACGCAGCAGCAAGTTCTTGGACATTGGCAGGACGTTGTTGACGTTGACGTAACCTCTGTCCAAGCATGTCCCAGACATGCTCGATGGGGGAGAGGTCGGGACTCAGTGCTGGCCAAGGTAATGTGGTGATGTTCTGTTGTTGGAGGTAACCTGTAACGATCCTGGCCCTGTGACATCTTGCGTTGTCATCCTGGAAGATGAAACGGCGGCCATGACGTCGTGCGAACGGCACAACATGGACTGCCAAGATGTTGTCCCGGTAGTACTGGCCTGTAACACGCCCTGCAACAACATGTAAAGCCGTTCTTCCAGCAACAGGGATGCCTCCCCACACCATAACAGAACCACCCCCAAATCGTTCATGTCTGATAACGTTAACGTCTTGGAAGCGCTCGTTTCGACGACGCCACACCCTCCTACGTCTGTCCAAAAAATCAACAGTGAACCTTGACTCATCTGAAAACATCACATTGCTCCAGCGTCGATTATCCCAGTGTTGACGATCCCTACACCAACGACGTCTTGCCTGAATGTGATGATCTCTCAAACAAGGGATCACGCGAGGACGTCGGGCGCGAAGGTGACCCCTATGCAGTCGATTCCGAATCGTCTGGCCACTCACTCTCACACCAGTGTCTGTTTGAAGACGAGCGCTGATCTGATTTGCTGTGATGACACGATTTCTCAAGGCCAAGGTACGGATAAATCGATCCTGGGCTTGAGTTGTCGCCCTTGGTCGACCTGAGCGTGGTCTGTCCTGTACAGATTGTGTATCACGGTATCTGGACCATAGCCTGCTTATGACAGACTGAGAAACATTCATCGTCCGCGCCACAACCGCCTGTGTTGTGCCGATCTGTAGCATGCCAAGGGCACGTAACCTTTCATTTTGGGTAAGCCGACGCATATCAAAATTTGTTTTCTGGTCACTAAAACAATTAAACTGATGTTTCCACCCTGGAATTCAATGCCACAATGACTGTAACATTCAAAGTCAGAGTCGTGCAAATCTTGGGTTGGACCCCCATGATGATCCCAAGCATCACCTGCATTCCATGCGGTAGCTATTGGTGCGTTTGGGCGTCACATGTAACTGGAAATGTTTCTTCTGTTAGGTTCTATAGTGACTTTTTTCGTAGTCATTTGCATATTTTAGTATTATGCCCCCAAAATCAAATATCCCCTACTTTTTTTGAATAGTATATAAACTTTTCTATGTATTATAGTTTTGGTAAGACTATTTGAGTACTGCCTGGTAATTTTCATGCAGGAGAAAGGTTTGAAATAACTCTGGCACAGCATTGAAAAAGAAAACGCATTTCTAAGTAAGAAAACGCATTTCTAAGTCCAAAATGTTATGATATTAGAAATATTTTACTTACTATTGTAGAATGTGCTGTATTTATTACGCCCCATTCGTTGAGAAATAGTTTTACATGTGGATCTAGTTTATGAACTTCGTTGAACATCCATGCCGTGATATTAGGGTCGTGAAGCTTATCGGCGAAATAATCATCATGAAGTACTTCATTATAAACATCCCAGTGTTCAACTCTGTATTAAATTCAATAGTAAAGAAACAGAACATTGTATCAGATAACCCCATGAATCTTAGAAAATTAAAAAAAATTGAATACTTTCTACTTTGAGAATTGAGAATTAACTGATGGTGATTCATTTGGATTATCATATGCAAAATTGAAATCACTTGGATTAATAATTTGACTTTACTTGGAATTCGTTTCCAGAGAAGAAAGGAATTCTACGCATTGCAATAAAGTTGTCTTTTCCTATACACACGTCATATTTCTTGATTGTCATTGTTAAACATGAGGGATTATATGTAATTAAGGCCTCGATGTAGCTATATGAACGTCTCGATTCCCTAAAAGAAAAGGCAAAATCAAGTGGCCTTCCTAAATAGAGAACTGTACTCAGTTCATGGTATAAAAACGAATACTATGTCCCCCACCCCCGTGTGCGGTATCCGACAAAGCTATAAACTCATATAAATAGGATACGAGAATAACCCGGAAATTAGTCTCGTGAAATGAACAAAAATATTCATATTTAAGTATATATGGCAGTTAGGGTTGTCTTTGTGATTGATGTTGTATTAGGTCATTAGGAAAAAAAATGTATATCCTGACCCGTTCACTACAGCCACTAGATAAACAAATTAAAGCGATAGTACAGATTTGGATGCAGTAAGATTTCAACATGTCTCAATTCTGAAATAAACAATAGTATATTTTCTTGACATTTTCTAAGAATGTGTGAGAAATTTTCATTTGAAATTCGTGACATGTCCTTTTGGAATTTGTTATGTGCCAACTTACTTCCCTTTGGTGTGAGATACGGTACTCTTTAAGTGGTTGTACATGGCAGTCTTCAGGTCATTTCCAGATAAAGACTTTATCCAATCTGGAACATTCGACCAAAACAAATTATGTCCACGAACCTTGATCCTGTATAAAAACCAAGCAAAAATTGTAATAATATAAGAATGCCCTTTAACCAAACACACAAAAAAATCGGACCTATTTAATCAAAATACGCGCTACTAAATTTTTTTTTTATACTTCAACCCTTGTTGGTTCTTGCCCTCAACACAATATGGTGTAGGGCCCGTGCCTTTCCGGTTTCATGCTTTTGACAGGCCCTTTCGGCAGTATATCGAGGTATATGGAATTAGATGGGGTTCTGGGCCAAGTCGAACCCGATCGCCTACGTCTTCCCCCAGCACCTGTTACCGCTCGCCACCAACCGTTCTCTGCACCCGGCTTGCATTCTTGCTGTCGGGCATAGATAGTTATTATAAGAAACAAGAAGATGATAATTTGTTAGCTGTCATACGTAGGAAAGCTTACCCATGTTTTCTCATATCGTCTAATGCAGTCAGCGCTGAAAAATCTTCATGGCCCTGTATGATAAATACTACTTTAGTATATTTGACGTGTAGATCTCTGGTAAATTATTACTCATTTTGTGTTCAAGAATGGACCGTTTAAGGCCAAGCTAATAACATAAACACAATCAGTAAACAATCCAACGTCCGTCTAAGATTTCGAAAATAAATTTAATCGTGTAAATTAGATCATTTTTTGATTCTAATATTTTGTTATTGCATACCCGATGTGGTTCTATATGGGGCCATTTAAGTCCACCTTCTGGAACAGTCCACTCAAAATTATTATAGAAATAATCTCTATAGACTTTCTGATCATCATGTCCCCACATCCAAGTCTTTACCATACAACCAAAGGCAAATTCAGATCGTAATTGTTGAATCTGAAAACAAGATATATCAAGGCTTATGGCATCTTTATATTCTAATAGGTAAAGGCTATTCCATTCTGATTTAAACACGGACCCCATTCAAATTTTTTTTTGTTTTGAAGCACACATATTTATCTTTGTGTTAAGAGATTAGATTAAGAAATGGTTCATTTTCTCGAGTTTTACACGAAGTGTGCATGGAATTCTGGGAGGTATTAATGGGCGTCTGTGAAAAAACACTTGAAACACAGTAAATATACAGCAAGATCGGCTGGATGAATAAATTCGAGGTAATGATATATCCAGTATGGTTTTTTGTGTTATATATTTATCAATTTTGTTTAATATAAAGTAGTTTTACCTCTACAGAGTACCCACTCCCGCTTACTCCTGCAGCAAGGCTGAAACAGAAATACACCTTTGGGCTTATTCGTATTCTCCATTGAACAATAAACGAAGCTTAGCGAACCCTGTTACAATATTGAAAAAAATTGGACCCCCAAAAGAAATGTCAGCCCAAAACTGGTTCCTGAATTGAAATGATAAATTGAAAGTATGTCAACATTCGAATCCCCCGAAAACGAAATATGTTCAAAGGAAGTCACCATAAATACTCAATCTGATTACAATCGTGAACATTCAATATTTTCCCCAAAAATGACGAACCATGACTTTAAGGCAATTCTGCAGTAAATACTTCGATGTGCCCCGATGCATTGCGTTCACAAGATTTTTCATTTGGTAATTCTTCCTGTTATCAATAGCAGTATCCACACAGGAAATAATTAAATTCAATACAGGGTTGATAAATCTGTTACTGAACCTAAAGTAAAATTACTAATAAAGTTTTAATGTAATGTCCAGTAAACGTGCGTTGGGTTTAATTTATACATCAGCAAAGATTCCGACATACCATATAGTTACTTGATCAAGATTTTAATGGATGTGGTAATGGGTTATACTAAGCGATGTGAAATCAATTTATATAATGGTTGTGGAGATATTTTTTTCAGGATATTTTTAATGGGGGAAATGTCATTATTGGTTGCACAAGCCTAGCAGAAAATTTAAATCCAAACCCTTTTCATCATTTCTAGATAAAATCATAATGTTGCAAAAATAAACACTACAAAATGTTGTAAATCATAAAACCAGAAAAAAAAACACGAAAAGGGAAGGGAGGGGTGTATTTAGATATAAATATCTACCTTATATGAATATCAGCCTTTCTGATTTGGTCTATTCTTAAATCGGCTTCTGCTCTCCAGTTGCTAGACAGCGCGGGAATTTCTGTTAAAGATGCTTCATCTATTAAATAGTCTACTTCCTTTTCTGGTATCAGAATATACAGGCGGAATAAGTGGACATCTGAAAGATTTTCAATGTTGAGATGCAATATGTGTTTCTAGTTGTATAGGTGTTTGATAGACCAAAAGGATTAGCCTTACATGCAGTGGCATTTGATTTGCTAGAAGGAATTAACTGTTTCGAGAGGCACAAAGTTGCGCATAATCCTCCCCCAGACCGCCCGGGAAAGCCACGTTCATGTATATCTGACATCACACCTTAAACATGCATTATGCAAAAGGTAAATCTGCTTATTGCAGGGCTTTAGTTAGGCCTGAAATGTTATATAAATTATAAGTTAAGACTTTTATTAACACGAAAAGACCATAATTAGCCCTCGATGCCGTGTTCATTGAATTTGAATCTGATCTGCTGTTCAACGTCCCTTGATGATAATCGAAACTTTGTTAACTATCCTGATAGCGGTAACAATGACAATCGGGGCTACACTGGTTTTAAAATAAAGTTTTCTCGGCTTACAGTGAAGCAATTTGACTGAAATTTTCAGCATATTCCCTTTACATCATCCTTTTTTTAAAACTATTATGGGGGTGGGGGGTGGATGGCCGAATGGTTAGCACGCGCGCGCTGTATCACGAGGCCTGTCATTGAGTCAACTGGCGTGGTTTCAACTCCCCGGTTGTACGTGACAAGGAGAAGGGTTGCCTGTCCAACCTCGTGGGTTTTCTCCGGGTTCTCCTACGCGCAAGCGAATTATTGAAATAAAATTAAACCATATGTTAGTCCCGAAATGACCTAGTCTGTGTCGAGTGGAGTTAAACCCCATTTTTTCTCTCTCTCTTTAACTATTATAGTGAGAAATGCCAGTTCTTTATCTAATCTTCCATTATGTATCTTTAAAGAAACAATGGTGTATTTCCCTATTTAAAAAAACTCTATAGATACAAATAATGAAAACCGATATTTTCTTACAACCGGGTCCGTTAAAAGCAGCACCCAATTCCTGCCATTCAGTGTTACTTTGCATGTGGTTGACTTCGGATATTGTATAGTATTTGTGACCTACAAAATAGAAAACCAAACAGTTTAGTACAGAGGGGATATTCTAGTTTGTAGTCTTAATATAAGCTCTAGACATTCTAATTCAGTATTGGCTATAAACAACTGAGACATTCTACTTTTATAGTATTGCCAATGAACAATTGAGACCAGCTACTTCAGTATTGTCAATAAAAGCTTGGGACATTCTACTTCGGTATTGGCTATCAACAACTGAGCCATTCTACTTTCATAATATTGCCCATGAACAATAGAGACCACCTACTTCAATATTGTCAATAAACGCTTGGGACATTGTAGTGCAGTATTAACGAAAAGGGGCTTACACTATGGTCAAGGAATCATTGGAATGGGGGTAATCATATCCAAATCCGTCAATCGATGCACAATTGTCCAAGGAACTAGTATGCCAACTGCTATGTCCATCGTTCTTGAATTGCCGGAGCCTTGGGCTGTTTCCGAAGAGCGTGGCCCCAAGAACAACTAGATGAGTAGCACTTTGGATAAGTTATTGGTCGCAAAAAAGACGGTTAAAACATGCTATAGATAGATACCCCTGATATTCTTGTTAAGAAGGAAACTGACACATTATATATTTTACAGGTATATTATTACCATGACTATCTTCAGTGTACATCTCCACCATTACTTTATGATAAATTTTACCAGGTGAATTATTCAACAGCCTTATTTTCATCTTCAACAGTAGCTTGGCATGGGCTGGTACCTTTACATTCTGGGCTATGCCCGACCAACTGCCATCAGTTCTGAACAAAGCACAAAATGTATTATACTATTACAATCCGCTTAACCATTACTCAAAATTGGGCGGTTCTCGTAATTCGCCCTAACCCGAACCCTTCTATCGGCTATTAATTTTCTTGTCCATAGTAAAGATTTTGTTGATGGGTCCTTTTTATTCTGAAAACTGAAATATGTGACTTGAATCGTTTGTTGACATCTTATATACAATTAGCACACCGAAGTGAGGTAGTCTCGTTTAAAGGTGGACCAGAAATTTTAGTACATAGTGACTTTTCTGTGAAGAGGTCTTCAACAAAACCGTGCAGAGAAACAACTACTTGAGAATTATCGGGGCCAGGATACGGACCTGTTACAGTCAACTTGGGATCAACGTATCATGTACCCAGTATTAGTCGCGAAAACAACAAATACGGGTAACTACGAATATTACTATTTAAAATAAACATAAAATGTTGTCCTACCTAATTTACTCCGATATTTTACCACCTGACATTTAGTGTAGATAAGCTGGTTTATTTTGCCAGTTTCGGAACGTCTACCGACGACCTGTTTCTTTACTCATTCACAATCACAGCTTTGCTTTTGAAGATGGTAAATCGACATTTTAAATGTCAAGAAAGTTTTAATTTAAGTCTCAGTATTTTGAACATTGGTTAAACTCAACAAAACCATACCTTTTAGTTATCTTAGCACTGTGCTGTCCTTCCATTCTTTGGGATGATAATTCAACATGGCAACCACGACAGTACCAACCATCATTCTCGGAGAAATGGTTGATTTCAAAATTAGGATTTTTGAAAAATTCTGATGATACCCTGAGGGCTAGCCCAAGAATTAAGAACAGCCTTGGAACCATAAAGATCAGTCTTGTCTAACAACTGTATGTTTAAATACACGGACTGTCTTGTGATAGCTACTCGGGTAGTAAGGCTGTGATAAGATAAGGGTATAACAAAACTCTTAAAGGGACATATTGCAATATTTGGTAACCTTGAGATATTTCACTTGATGTCAGGTGCCATAGCACAATGAAAGTAATAATCAGATAATAATTGGATAATAGAGGTTGTATGATTCTACTCAAAATTATGCTTAAATACTACCGAGATACGGAAACAATTAGACCCTACATAGTAAGAAATCTTTCAGGAAAATAACCATCGACTATAGTAAGAATGAAAATCATAAAACGGGTTAATATTATGACAATTTCCTTTAAGACTTTAAGACTATTTTATCTACCTGTGAATTAGTTTCAATTGCCACGTTAATAGTTTATAAAGTTTGGTTGCACTAACGTACTTACGTGAATGGCTTAAATGTTGTTTTTTTTTTATGGATAATTAAATTCAACGTCGATTTAGGGCTGGACTTTTAAATAGTGAATTGTACACAGTTATAACTACCTGTATTAAACGGCATGAAGGGTAATAATTCAAGACACTGTCCATAAATTAATTTATTACCTTCTCATACACATTGTTGTACTTTCTGAATGCAATCAAAAATCTCTGAAACAATTGGTGGTAATGCTTGAAATTAATGCCATCTAACTCTATGTCAGATTCTCATTAAAATCTTTTATATACTTATACTGCGAGAAAGGCTAATGAATTGTATAATGTACTGTATTTTCTTCCAGTGAAGCAATACAATTCAACAGTGCGGCTGATGTCCTTCACCGCAATCCCTAAATAAATAGATGCCATTGCTAACGTTCTTGTATTTTTATGTTTTTTTATAAATCATCTAGAAATCAAAATGTTTATCCTCCTGGCTAATCTAACCAGTCAAGGTATTTGTGTAATGAAACTATACACAAAGTTTCATTACTTCACCTCAATTAGAAGCAGATTTATTATGATCGAAAGTCTCGGCCACTCACATTGCTTATCTCTCTGCTTAGCCTAAACGGGAAATCCTCCCATATCTAATACCTTCACCAAGTTTGAACATTCAACTTTAATTAGAAACAGTTGTTATTTTGTTCCAAAGGTGTGACTGCGGAACAACGAGACGAACAGTTGCATGGCCTAAGAAAATCCCCATCCCTGAACTCATTCATGACATTCACATAATGAACCTCCACACCATGTTGAACAGTATCCCCCCAATCAGAAGCTGAGTTATGGCCTCCCAAATTCTGGACTAGTGGCATTGCTTAATCGTGGAACTCATCATAGCATTCACCTAATGAACGTATATATATACACCAATGTTTGACATTCTTGTTGACAGACAGATGAACGAACCTATGTTAAAAGTCCCCCAGCTTGCTTCGAAAGGCGACGGGCAAAACAAGCTCAACAACTAGATTGTAAAATCATTTATGCGACTATTTCTTCCTGCAATATACTTATATCGACTTGGTGTGTATTCTACAGATAAATTATCATTTTTTACCAATTACTATGTATACAAAATATTAAATTACCTATTTTAATATCGATTAAAATCGTGATATCGCGGAGGTTGACTTGGGGACTTTAGGGTGAGGGAGATTATACTACTTTTAGATCACGCGATATCGCAGCAATCGGGGTCTTGACAAGGACTGTAACGTCAATTCAGCCAAAAAATAATAATTTCGAGACTAGCATGTGATTTGGGCCTATTGTTGGCCCATAAGGACAATTGTACTCACAGAATTTGCATAAATGACAAAGAGTGTACACACGGATCGGTTCACACTACAGTAAACAAGTTTAATTAAGGTTACAGTTAAAAAAAAATCAGATAATATTTCGCATCAATGTTATTTACATTTGTGATATTCGAAAAATCCCCCAAAATTTGCAGAAACTCTTGGCGAGCAGATTGTAGAAATGTTGTTAGACGGACCCACGAATGGACAGAATATTCACCACCTGTTTATGTGGGCATATAGAAATTATGAAATCTGTCTGTCTTGAAATATTTTATTTTTGGAAAGTAAAATACAGTTAAGGGTTTGGAATAGAAAGCACATAATAAAAAAGATAATTATATAAAGTAGAACCTAACATGTTAGCTGTGTGGACATAGATCTGGTACAACATGATGTGAGCTTTCTATTTCATTAAAAATTTTAGCTGTTTTTTTTATTGTACGATCCCGAGAGGTTACTGAATACGACGAACCATATCATCAAGAATAATTGTATCTGTCTTATTATGTAGTAGGTTTCGATTTGCGCCAATTATCAAGAGCTTTCCTAACAGATGATTCATCGAAGGCGTCTGTTAATGAATTAAGACATTTTATGAGTTCCTCATCGGACTTGAAATGATTTGTTTCAAGTTGATGTTGATTGTTTTCAATCAGAGATTTATTGTTGGCCAATATTTGGGTTTTCTGATCTTGAAATGAAACGAAAAGTAAACTGCGATGGAAAGGTGTTGATTCTGGGTTTGTGTAAACATCTTCAAAAACTACATCAAAATCGTGTACATTTTCAACCTCTTGAAGATCAAAATCGTAAAATCTTCGCCATTCTCCTTCAAATACAGCGGGATCCTCATCTGATGGTGGTCTGATATCCCCTTTTCTATGCATCCGTAGAACTTGACCATCACGTTTGACAAATTTATACTCCAAGAAGGATTCGAAAAATACCGGCGATTCTTCTTCAAAGTCTAAAGAAATAATTTTAAAAGTGGGGTTAGCACAGGCAGCCTCGAGCAGAAAAAGGTCGCCATTTTGTTCAACATTCTTCACAAAGATAACCAAATGATTATTAGAGTTAAGTGGCCAAACGCTCGAACGGGCCATGGAGACATCAAAATTTAAAGCCTTAAATAAAGCGAAAAGAAAAATATGATGCGAATAACACAGCCCTCCTTTTCCGAGAAACATCTCTTGTTTTATTTCATTCCACGTAGGCCGATGTCTGTCTGCTGGATCTGTTGCTAGCAAGGTAATATTCTGAAATGGTTCTTTCTCTCTGTACGACTCCATAATAGTATTTATGACATCAAGATTATCAGAGGAGTCTAGTAGGTCGTTAACATTATTTAATTGGAGTATATCCGTTAGAAAAGTGATGGCTTCCTCCTGCGACAGCATTTTCTGAAAGTAGAATATTATATGATTTTATGTTGTTGCGGTAATGTTCAAGGTACATGGATTATTTCAACAGTTTATTCGTCTTTATTAGTATTCAGGGGATAATTATTATACATCAGTGTCAACGATTAAACCGGGCAATTATTAATGCAATTATTGCTGTCTGCAAGTTATATTTCCCTTTTTTCAAAGTACTTTCTAGGTTGTTGCTAAGAATGCCGTGGAAGCTTCTCCGAAGTGCTCTTTAGAGGATGATTTCGCATAACATTAAGTCTGTGTGGCGAATAGTAAAGGAGCCCGGGCGTCATGATCAATACAGGCAAGACCGAGAAATATAATTGTATTGCAACTAGTCACATTGTTATTTCAATATACACCGCAGGTCATTAATTTTATTCTCTTTTGTGGGCCTTTTGTTGGTGCTTATCAGTGGTGAACAAAATATCTACTCCAAATACCTAGAATCGACGGCATGGTGTGCACCAAAGAAGAACGTTAAACGCCATTTCATTTCATTTTTCGACTTTTTCTGAGTAACTCGTGGGGAAAGGGATTATATAGGCTTTGCCTGTTTCCTAATCCTAATATTCAATAAAATATTGTTTAGAAAAAAAACCTCGTGGTTATGTGTTTTGTTTGGCATGTGTGTCACATTGTTAAGTGACTATCATTGGTTATTTTAAAACACATATATATATACTCATGGGCGTCATAAATGGGGGGGGGGGGCGGGCGACCCCCCATTTATTTACAACAATTATTAGGATTTGTTAAGATTCTATCTGTATAAAACAATGTACAAATTAAAACACAACCACTTGTGTTTACTTTTTGAAATCCATTTATAATACACAAAATGTACAAAATACTTTAAATATCTATACAACTTTCTTGTAAATGTGTATATGTATATAGTATTGTAGTTAACAAGGTGATTGTCAAATATGCATCCTCATAAACTAATGTTATGTGATCACTTTTTGTTTCATTTGGATCCTCCTCATAAAAATTCCCCTACTAAACTCTCTTTTCTTTGTCTTGTTGTTCACAACATTCAATATGTAAAAGTCATGAAAAAAATATGAATACGGCACCCCCTGACTTAAACATGATAAACATTGTATTGGTGTGATGTTTTAGTTTAACCCATAATTTTACATTATTTCATTTGCGCCCCCCCCCCCAATATATATTTCACGGATACGCCTCTGTATATACTGATTCCGAAATAAGACTATGGCAAGAAAAGTGGACTTTTATTTAAATCCCTTTCACAGCTTACATAACTGCGGCGATAGTGAAGTATTTCACCTAAAAAATATATCCTACGATCGAAACCCTATTCCATTTTCAATTGTCATATACATACTTTTAACATGGGCTTCATAATACATGTATATTACGCTTTCATTGTAAGACCAATCTAATTAATTATGTTCCTGATTTTCTACACTACATAAAATATAACATATCTTCAGATCTTCTGCTATAAAGACGGCTTACATCGGCTGACTTTAAACGCGACCTTACCAATGCATTTAGACGATATTATTCGTGACTTACACTGGAAAAGCACGATGCCTTTTAAAGTGCTCAAAAATTGGGTAAAATGTTCTAGATACTCAGGGGTTTTATGGGTTTATACAGAAGCCGACCCACCCCCTTGATCCCAAACATTTAAAACAAACACCGGAAAATTCAAACATCATGAAATAAACAGACTAGAAAAATATAACATGAACCCCCCCCCCCTCCTCCACACAAAATATATATATAAAAAACAACAGAAACCCAGACTAGAGAAATATTAAAACGTA